TCAGTCGACCATGTCAGCCACCGCGCCCATTCCCCACTCCAGTCTGCTGACCGGCTCGGACAGCGGCTGGGGTGTGGGAGTGGGAAGGGAGAGTGAGGTCGACGACTCAGCGCACTTTCTCCTCACTATAAACAATCTGACACGCTTGAAGCTATTACGGTGCGCTAAAAGCCATGGCTTGGAAGGCTGCCAACTGACGGGGTAACTTGGACCTCCTCAATGACCGGTGGTGGTCTGAGAGTCAGGATGCAATGGCTCCTTATTAATATGGCCTTTATGGCACTCCCATCACAGTGTGGGATCCGAGACAGGCGTTGGCGGTACGCCCAGGTGCGGCTTCGGCAGTGCCAGCCTTCAAATTTCTCTTGTGTTGGTTGAAATCCTGGTTATTTGTTGTGCGGACCAGGTGGTGTGGTGGAACGCCAAGGTGAGGATCCGTCCGAGCCATCCACCTGCGGCCTCTCTCATCTCCGGTCTTCTTGACTCTGTCTTGACACCGGGCTCGGGCGAGGGAGGAGAGGAGAGTGTAGGTAGATGCTACGCAAGTCTACCGGCACATAAGCCCCAGCGCAAGTCATCGCCCCTGCTCCCACCGCTGCTGCAGCTGTGGGGCACACGGTGGACATAGTCGAAATCGACGGTCGAACTGTCGTGTCTGCGAGGATTCTAGTATGAGCTCCTATGCGCAACGGAAGGAGCACGTTCCAGAGCTGGGAACAACTGACCTCTGGTGACGCTGACGCCACCCGCGTAAAGGGATTGCTGGGCGGTGCGTGCTAGCGGACACTAGTGACTAGAGGCGGCCATCACAAAATTACTCACAGAGCAACATTTTGAGGTCGCTCTGCGCGAGTGCAATACTATGAGGAAGTCCAAACAAACATGTAACAAATGCCGAATGGAGGACATTTACACTAAATACGTAGAGGTACTTGCCCAAGAAAATAAGGATGTTTGGGACTGGCATTTCTGGCTTGTTCGCCTCGTCAGCTAGCAGCACTCAACACAGTTTCAATATCTAAATATTTGAACTCGGGTACTTGGGTCGCAAGAACCGCAACAATGGATTTGTTGTTGTGTCGGTCGAGATCTGAACAGTCGACTTTCACTGGAAAGGAATTTACCGACCAAGTTGCGAGATGCGTCAGAACTTTCCGCATAGTGCGCATGTTCCTTTACCTGATCGGAAACTTTCTTTTTGCGATAAAATAGTTCAGGCAGGTGGAAGATGGACAAAATGTTTGCGAGGCACAGGAGGTAGTAGAATGACTGAGTAAAAGTGAGTACGTCTGCTACAAGAACGTATAAACGGCAGAAATATACAAGAATAAGGAGAAAAGTGAACTAGGCCGAAATAAATTTCACGGATTCTCCTCCACATGCCCTAAACCCCATTCCAACTGCTTATTTTTCGTACTGCTGAAGTGAAAATCCATCTTGGAAGACATAGATCAGGGTTAACTCATGTTCTGCGCACTTATTGCCTAGGTTATTGAACAAAAGCATACTTTGCGTTGTGTTTTGTCTAATTGGTCTTGTGGGTTCTACTAGCACCAACCTCGTCCGGCCACGTTAAGCCCCGGGGGCCAGAACGGGCTAGGACCAATATGGGCGGGGTTACGGACGGGGCTATGACAGGGCTGTGGACGAAATAGCCCCTTATTACCCTGTCCCCGAAAAAGACGCGAGGGGTGGACGCCATTCTTTCCGTTGTATTAACCCCACTTTTATGTTGCCGGTGTTTTTCCTTACTTAATTCCCCCTACAATAGTTCATTCTATTTTACATGGGAACGCGGAACACCCATACACCTTACGCATAATAAGTGTAACACACCCTCATTTACTACAGTGATTGCGCCGACAAATCATACGTGCACCGAGGTCTACACGAACCAAACCCATGGACAGTAAGTATATGCATGTGGAATTTTAATGAACATGTGAAATAAACATTGGGTAGAGGAGTATGTACAGGAGGCATATGGGACACACAGCTGTATTGTTCTGTCAATTATTTGGCATTGTTCCGTTGATAGAAATCGTTATTCACAGCAGGCTCCTGTAGGAAAAAAAATTAGCTACAGTAATGATTCCATAATTCTTTTCCTTATCACTTTTAGTCGCATTTTTGTTTTAGTAAACGGCATGCGAGACGTATATTTAATTTGCTGTCAGAAACTTCAACTTTAAGGATGTCAGAAATACATGGTAAATGCATTTAAAGGGGACTAAAAGAATATTATGGCAGCTGTTTATATTAATTTCGTTTTAAGTCCCCTTTAAAGTAATTTATCAAATATTTCTGACATAAATATGCTGGAAAATACTGATATAAATATGTCAGAAAAAATTGTCTGAACGTCGACGCACGCTTTGAGATCCGCTGGGCGGGTGGGGCATTGTCGATGCTTGGTTTATTTACCATTTTTGTGGTTTTTGTGTCTCTGTTACCAGTCCACAACATGCAGAGTGTAATCCTAAAGGGGCACTATGTGAACGCCGCTCACCAGTTACGGAAATGCTGCCAGGAAAAACTGCCCCTGGATTGTTTCGAGCGAAGTATTTGCCAATATTTCTTAATCTTTTTACGCAGTCCTCATCTTTTTTGTGTGCTTTTCTTTCCGGAAATCCATTGCACTGCCCCTGGTCCTCCACCGCTGTGACGTGTCCCCATATTTCCTGATTTGTTCCCACAACTGCTCAGATAATGTAAGGGTAGTTTTTGTACCACAAAGACTGCCAAATACCATGATGAGACATTCAGGAACTCGAATGTCAGATACAAAGCAGACAAGAAGACGCAGAATTTCATTTGTGAGGTCGTGAATGTTTTCGAAAAATGTTTGTTTTCGTTCACATTTGACTCTTCCGCATGTTTGTCAGCGCATAACTTCGCCTTCCACTGTTTTAGCCTTTTTGTTTGGAATTGTATTTTCTCTGCTAGCGAATTCAGGAGTTCAAGAGCGTAGAACAATAAACAAAATTTTCCAGTGCTCGACCCTCTTCGTATTCACTGAAACATGCACCTTGAACTCAAACTTTCACCTATTGAACAATTAGGATGAAGCGCAGTCCAATCTGTCCAATAAGCTCTCGTAGCGTAACTTTCCACAGAATGCGAATGTTTGTGCGGTATTTGCTTCTCTCGTTGACTTTTTTGCCGCGCGCTCTTGAGTCCGAATGTGTAGTGTAGTGTGATTTTAATGGGTTTTGTGATAAAATATTTCTTTTTCGCGATTTATCTTAATTTTCCGTCACTAAGTATGTGGCTTCCGCCTGCGTAGTACAAATTCATGCACGTTTGCATTTTCCTATCGATTGACTAGAGAACTGAGCAATTATTTTTGTGGTCTGGCGCGAATGCTGTATTTGAACGGATGCCTAACGTGGTCAGTTGTGTCAGCACATCAGGTCACGAGGTTGAGCGTGGTGTGCCGTTTTTGGTTCCTGCTCCTTAGGTGAAATGCGACTAGCAGGAGGAGCACGTGCTCTTTTCTCCAGGCCAAAGCCAATAAATCTTCATTTACTACGCTCTTACGCCTTCTATCACAACAAACTCACCTCGACCTGTACCAGTAGACCGGATACTAAGTATGCAAACCAGTTTTGGAAGAAAAATGCAACTGCGCACAACATGGTGTGAAACTTTGTGCCAGCAATACTGGGCTCAACTATGCGAACGTTGGCACAGGGCAACGTGGATATTGCCAGCTTCTTCGATGGCATCTGACATAAAATCCAAATTTTAGGCCCTGATGAATTCATTTGCTTCTGCTTGGTAGCGTCATTGGCAACTGCATCCGAAATGACGACGCAATCGTCATAGGTTACTAGGACTAATTCCAACTTGTGCACTGGTATAAGGTGTCAGTGAGAATTAAACTTGAGCGTTTTCCTGACGCTATCCTCAACGCCACACACTGCATTACACCTGCCTTTAAAGCTTGATAAGAGAATTGGTCAGAAGATGCCCTTTTAGTTAACTTCGACTTAGGCAGACGTCGACCGACGTGTTACCGTCTTCCGGTTCCGGCTGGTTGAAATACCAGGAACATCTGAGATTCCGATTCCTCGTCAATACTTAGTCGGTCACTGTTGTATGAACTACCAAAACCTTGCGAAGTCTTTCCTGGCGACCCGCTTTGCCTTTACAAGTATTTGTTCCCGACTCTGGAAGATACACTATCTGGTACTCTTATGATGGGCCCACTTGAGGCATAATAGGATGCATACTCGTCTGAACATCCCCAGCCAGATCAATTATAAGTCCTCTTGTTCATTGTACCGACACAGACAACTGGAATGGTTCTTATGAGATGTCCACCACAGTTTAGGTGGCATGTCCATGAAAAGGCACAATATCCTAGAATATGCGATTTTGACCTGCTCAAGCACTCTTACTACCAAGGGCCTCCGTCCCATTGTCCCCAACCGTTTCGCTTTGTTTGCACCCGACGACATCTCCATCAAGTGCGTCCTTGCTTGTCACTCGGCGGCCTGAGCTTAGGTGTACGCTCCACACCAATCATTGAAGTGCACCGCTTCAG